AGCGTTATTCCGCCTCTTAGGCGTCACCGTCTCCAGCCTTCGATAATTTCACTGCAGGCCGCCATCAAAACCACTTTCGACACATACAGTCAACGGTCCTTCACTTTAGACCCTGGATTCACCGTCGTTTCCAAAGGGTTTTCATTCGGGCTGATGTTCACTCGCCTATCATTGTAGGAGACTTTGTCGCAATTTGGCCTTACGGTTGATCTGAAGCACCGGAAACTGATCAATTCTACCTCCAGACTGTTCACTCTCAGCATTGCCGCACAAGAACCTTCAGCTGTCCGTGCCAAGCTCGCCGTTCTATGAAGTTTTGAAGGAATTCCTCTCTCTCGCTAAACCATGTCAGTTCACTGAACAGGTTCAGCACGCAATGCGACACCGCGTTGCCATAACTAAACGGCCAGTCCACGCTCATCCGCACCGACTTCATCCTGAGAAGCCTTGCATCTCGATGAACAAATTTGAGCATATTTTGAATTTGGGAATAATTCTACCTTCGTGTAGTCCATGAACATTTCCACCGCATATAGTACCCAAAAAATCATTCAATGATGGTCGACCATGCGGCGATTTTTGCGCTCTGAACAGAGCCACAGTTCCGGACAGCTATCCCATACACAATATTCAGGATTTTTCGCATATGCTATCGGGAAAGACATTTTCTTAGAAACTGACCTCGTGAGAGCTTACCATCTTATACCAGTCATGGAGGATGAAATCCCAAAGACTCTCATCACGACGGCTTTTGGCTTTATTGAGTTTCTTTGCATGCCGTTAGGTTTGCGTAATGCGGCCCAAACATTTTAGCGTTTCGTTGACGACATCTTATGTGGCCTTCCCTTCACGTTCGTGTATATCGGTGAAATTCTTTTTGCTAGTTCTTCCCAGAGGAACACGCTGAGAACTTGCGCCAAGTTTTCGATCGTTTTTAGCGAAATAATTTGCAGCTGAACGACGACAAGTGCCCTTTGTTCTCTGGATATCCTCGGTCAGCATGTGGACCAACACAGAATCACACCAGTCTCAGAGAAAGTAAAAAAAAACTTGCTGTCTTTTCTAATTCCGCAAACCCTTACACAGATCCGCCGTTTCATCGGCTTGGTCAACTGTTACCGCCATTAATTCCAAACTGGGCAACAACTCTGGCTCCTTCAGTGGATCATCTGAAATGAAAAGCCAAATCGTTACAACTTTCGGACACAGTTCTCGCAGCATTTAAGGAGCCAAGAAAGCACTCACAGATTCCAATGTGCTACATCATCTGCACATCGAGAAAAACTCACAGTTGATCCATATCAATGACGCATCAAACACTGCTGTTGGTGCAGTCCTGCATCAACAGGCGAACAGCCAATTGCAACCACTTGCCTTATTCTCACAGAAGCTACAACCAGCGCAGACTTGCCACAGTACTTTCTCACGATAAATTCTCGCTATTTACCTGGCTATCCGACACATTCGCCACCTTTTGGATGGCAGAGAATTCCAGGTCCACGCGGATCACAAACCTCTCATTTACACTCCAAAGCCAAGCTAGATCGGTATTCGCCATGAGAAGTGCGTCACCAATACTATATTGCGAAATCCACTTCCGATTTAAGCTACGTTCGTGGCAACGACAATGTTGTTGCCGACACTCTACCTCGTCCGGATATCAGCACTATTACCGTCGAGTTCGATCTCAGAGTGAATATATCGCTATATAGTAGCTGTATTGACAAACGACGGATCCCCACATCACAAGTCAGGGAAGACGGTGTTGGTAGACAGAGATTTACAGACGGCACAAAAGCCGTCTTATCAGCCCGTTGCCAGCTGCGTCAGCACGATAGGTGTGTCCGCGAAAATGTGTTGCTGCGTTGATTTGCCTACGATCTGTCGTCTACACAGCCAATCAGATGGAGAGGGTGTATTGATTGTCTTCAAGCGAACGCGCGTTTGAAGCAGCGAGTCAATCGATGGCGTTTGAAAAGCCGGCGCAATTAAATTGATCACATGGTATGCAAGTTATCGCAGCCGAGAACAGGATGAATCACGCACAGTTTGGCTAGGCGGTAGAC